ACTAGTCTCTGCTTCGCACAGGAACGAAGACCAGCAGCAACCATTGCAGTGTGAGACGGCTCTAATCATACACCCGGTAGAGTGAAATGTGTTGTGTACAGTTTGGAGGTGAACCAAATGTTCTAGGGATACCTACAACATTGATCAAGATGTTTTTCCGTTACTGCAATGTAGTTACGATTTTTTTTCCGTTGACAGATATTTGCTGCATGTCACGTGTCCGATGCGTGTTTCAAAACGGTCGCTAGGTCCCAATTTTCGTCAATAACACTCTATTGCAAGTACCGGCGTTCGTTTTCGCTGTGCGAACTGCATGCATGCAGCGCTCGCGTCGGCCAATGTACACCACCAGTATTGACACAACGACCGATTCGCTGCCTGTCCCAGGTGCGCTTGGCCGAACGAGTATTGCCCGGCATACATGGCATATATCTCCGCAGGGGCAGCCCGCTGTGACAAAGACTCCAAACAAGCAGTCGAAGGGGCAGCCGGCGGTGACAAAGAATCCCAACTTTCAGCTATGTTGTCTAGCCCCTCTGCCGGGGGCATGCGATTGGCAGGGAACTATGCCCACCGTGGCTCTCCCGGTGAGGGATGTCTGCAACATTTAGTTGGTTTGAGAGCTTTCTTTTTGTTTGTTCGTCCTTGCTTGTGTCTACAGGTGTTGGCAAGCGTAGTCTTTCGTGTTTCATGTGTTGGCAAGATCCTGGACGCTGCATCTACGCTTGAGGTACCACACCTGTCGTTGAGCAGACGCGTGTATTTTTGCGCACAGGCATGCGTGGAGATTCCGTCGCCAAGTATGCTGGATCATTGAGTTGTGCTACCGTCATTTCTTTGCCCTGTGTTAGCTATGCAATCCATCGATTGTGCGCGTTTTTGTGTGTGCAAGCGTGACTTCTGAAGGGGATCATCACGGCTAACAGCATGTAAGCGGCTACCACAGGAGAACGGGGAAGATTTATTTTCGCGACCGTAGGTTGCTGGGTTTCCTAGAATCCCCGCAAGGATCTGTATCAACATTATGCGAACATTGAGCCTTGTGATCGCTTTTGTGCTGTCTGGACTTCGTTTGTCTATTCTCCAGGTGTAGTTCGGCGGACAGCTAGTAGACCTATCTCTATCATTCGCTCTACATCAGTCCCAGCTCAGCTCCAAGATAGAACGCAGGCCGGTGACCCGGATCCGGAAGGGGGTAGCGGAGGCAACCCTGCAAATAGGAGGAGCCTTCACACTCGCGACAGGAGTCTTCAGCACGACTTCAATAGCGGTGCGGCAGGAGGAGTTAATGGGATCGTCCAGTCCCTCCCTCCACCGCAGGCTCCCCTGCTGGCGGGGTCCCTCCCTCCGTCGCGATTTTTGGATGACTTGCCACCCCTCAGTCTCGGGCCGCAGGTGTGTTTATCGGACAACGTGAAGCAATCTATTTTCGCCAGGAACGGAGCGTCGCAACAGTGTCTTGTGCGAAGGATTGCGGGGAAAACGTAGCATGGTTATTTATGTATCCGTGATGCGACTTTCTACGAGACCCGCGATCGGCAAAATTGTCTGCCTAGCTTGTCCTAGCAAGAAGTTTTAGAAGAAATTCTGGTTTTGCATGAATGATTTGCTTTCGCCCACTTTTGTCATTCCATGTGACGTACTCAGGGGAAAAGAGTGCCAGTAACCTGCTCTTCTATGGTCGGCCTGCCGGGCCTAACCTCTGTAAGCTAGATGCATGCGTTGTCCGTAGTCTGGCTCATGGACATCGCTTTATACACAACGGCCCGCTGTTCGCATCACCCATCCCGGGGACCTTGCCCCTGTTCTGGCGCAGGCTGACAATTCGTTTGACTCCGATTGTGGTGCGCTCTCGACGTCGTTGAAGGCAAACCGCCTGGTAAGTGGTGTCTTGCCTACCCTCCCGAATCAAACGGTTACGTTCCATGCGCATGATGCACAACAATCGTCCGCAATTTTGGGACACCCTCTCTGTTGGAAGCTCCCTTCTTTTAGCTGGAAGTACATGTTTTCGCGAGCAGGACGGGTGTGAATTTTGTGGCAAATCCCGAGAGGGCCACGTGATCATAGCTTTTGCGCTTGTTTGTATCAGACACCCCGCCATTGAGCACCGAGACGTTCGGCAACAGATTGGTAGCTCCTCTGGTGTTTGTGGCCGCCCCGAAGTAGCGCGTTGTCACTTTAGTCGTGCGAGCAAATATGTTGTCAGCCTGCCGGCTCCAAGATGCCCCAGTGCATTCTTCCTTCGGTTGGCGCTGCTCAAGACCGTTGGCTACATTCGTTTCAATGTTTTTTCTCAATTGATCTTTCCTCCACACCGCCCACATCCCTCGCGTTTTCGGTCGTGTCGGTGTTGGTTATCGTCATGACAAAACGCAGTACGCCACGTCTTGTCCGGCAAACATCGGAGCGCATTTTGGCCGCCCACCAGGATCGAAACTCCAGTCCATGTCCGTTCTCGCAGAGGGGCCGTTAGATGAGGAGGAGGAAGAGGCGGCGGAGGAAGGGGCAGAGGCGTCGAAGAGGATCACGGCCCTGTCCATTCTAGAGTCTTTGTCGCAAACGCCCGCCGCACCTGTGGACGGGTCGAGAGTGGACGCAGAATCTGTAGAATCGTTGACGAATATCGTAGATGAGCGACTGCCTATCGAAGACGACGTGTTCGAGCTGGACGGGCTCGAAGGGGTGAGAACGAAACTGGCAGCAGTGCTGAGTCCAGCAGTTGGCTCTGACTTGAAAAGAGAGTACATTCGCATATTGTTCAAAACTGGCGTGCATTGGTAAGAGCATGTCGAATCGGCCAGTGCGCACCTCCTGCATGAAAAAAGTACCTGCTCTCTTGTTGATCACCCCCCTCCCTGTTCGCAACATCATGATGTGCTACACACCAGCTACGCACGGCACGCCAGTGAATAGCATGCATTCCTTTTGTGGATGAGTACAGTAGAGGTCCCTGTTGAGTGCCGGGGTGTGCGCAAAAACTTCACCGGCACTATGCCGGGCACCAGCACTATACCGGGCACCGGCACTATTCAAAGTACAGAACGACTTGATATTCCAGTGTGAGCGAGCCGAAAACACCGGCACTATAACCGGCACTAAACAGGGACCTCTACTGTACTCATACTCGGCAGAGTATGCTGTTTGTATTGTTTGTGTCAACCTCAAACACGCTCTTTGTTTGTTCGCAGGTGAACGAGGAGCTGGAGGCTCTTTCTCTCTCCGAAGCAGGCAGCAGCAACATGGCTTAGCTCGCTCGCTGTCCCCCAACGGCATGGAGCCTGCCTTAGCAGGATAAGGGCAGTCTAGGGACTCTGAAACTCCGCTTCCCGTTACATGTCCCAGCGTTGCTTACCATCCTTGGGGCAACAACTGTACATCAAATCGAGCTCTGGAGCTGGCCAGGTCCGCGTTAGGGCGTCCCTAGCTGGCACAGCGCCGAATGCCATTGCTTGGCGCTGGAGCCCGACGTTTGGGTCTGGATTGATCGACTGTGTTTGTTTGGACAACGGCTGGGTTACCCGGTACTTCCGCTACAAGCATATTTTTGTTGTTATTCACGGTAGGGTAGGACACAGTAAGTTTGGTGCAAGTTGTTGAGAGTTTGCGGTTCCTTTTTTGGTCTTGTTTGTGTGCATAGTCCCCATTTGTTGCGCGACGAAGCGTAGGATAGAGGGTGCTTGACACATGCGCGTTTCGTTTGGTTGTTGACAAGATAGATATAATACCATGAATTTGCAGGTATCAAAAGGTGGTTGGCCTTGTACAAAAGGAGCACAGTCGCAGATGCAGCTGTGGGCTGTGGTCACAGCAGTTGTTGCCATGATATGTATATGTGAAAGTGTTCTTTTTTATGCGGGAGGATGCATGAAGATGCATGAAAACAACGCCCTAACTGGGGCGATTGTTGCAACCCCCAGGCATTAACCTCGGATATTCTCAAGTGCTTTCTCTGAAGTTTTGGATAGAGTATCATGTTCGCTCGGATGCGGAGCACATTCCCCGAGTGTATTCCTAGGGGCGCTGTAACGACGATCGAAACCCCTTCCGTTGACTCATCGCAAGGACACGATACCACAGAAATTATCACCACCGATCCTTCGCCTCCTTTACGGTGTCAATTTCTGTTGTAAAACCGAGTGATTTTTCTTCGATCGACTGTGGGAGGCTCTTGGAATATCGAGCGGGGTGGATAGAAGCGTAGCTGCTGCGATGCATGCACCCCTTGGTGCAAGGTCGGTGCCAAGATCTTCGACGGTTTTTGAGAAATCGCTTTCTTGGAGGGCCTCATCTAGAAAACACCCATTTTAAAAATGTTCTTCAGTTTCGCGACCCCCGCGGCTGAGCAGCCACAGCATCACGGTTCTACGTAACCTGTGGGCGCTGTGCAAGCTTCACGTTCGTTAGTTAGTGCATGTTGTAATTTGTTGGGTGTGGAAGCTCACGGAGAGACGACGCGTCTACACAATCAAAAACATGTGTTGTAGGATGCATGATCTTCGTAGCGAAGCATCTGCCGGAATTTTAACACCATGCTTGCATGGTTTGTGAGTCCCAAGAGGTCGAGGGCGGGCGGAGGAGACAGGTCTCGAGACCCAATGTGATAAGGCTCGCCGGTCATCTGCTCAGGGTCGCGTACGTACAGCAGTGCCGGAACTTGTCACGCCGACTTGGGGCGGGACCAAAAAAAGAACACCTCCCCCCCAAAAATGAGCGACAAACAAATATGCGTTGGAAAGCTCTCGCCAGCGGCGTTCGAAAAAGCCTTTCAGAATGGGTCGCAACGCTCTAGATCAAGAGTTATGGGCCTTTTACCATCACCACCGAAGGTACTTCACCCCACCAAATCCTCCATATCTCGACAACTACGGGGTTGCGACCGAAAAAAATCTCGTTCTGTCCTACATATTTTATGGCGTTGGTTCCATTTCCGAACCTTTCGGGGGAAGCCCCGAAAAAAAAACTAAACTGATTTTTTTGATACTTTCACAAAATTGTCCAGAGCAGCCCCAAGGGCAGACAAACAAGAAAGTTAGTGGTGGATGTCCTGCACGTCCCATGACCTTCACGCTTCGCCTTGAGGCACTGACGGACAGAAGGGACGCCCTGATAAGGCGCTGATAAGGCGTGGTGGTACGCTGACCGTTGTAACTCAAGTGAAGAGCGCGAAAAAGTATCGTCTCCAGCTGACAGCAGACCTGTCGGATGGAACAAGCCGCATTGGTCAGCCGGTAAGCGCGGTCGATGCTAACAACAAAAATACACACGGACAAGACAGCGGACAGACCCAACAGAGAAACCAAGGTACATACATGTATGTGCTGCCTCGGACCCGAAGTGCTCTACGCCAAGGCGTACCATACCTTGTGCGGACGGTGAACTGAGCCATCGACAAGAAGACGGAACGCCGCAAGTCCCTCATGGCCACGTCTGCAAGGAAGGGTGTGGCGGGCGGCTCCACCGCAATTGAGGTAGCATATTTGAGGACAACAAAAAGCACCGCATCTGCAGCAAGGCTGGCAAGCGCAAAGCGACACCAGCTGAGGGTGCTGGGGCGGGACCGTCTAAATGCCCGAAGAAAACGAAGGGGGGGAGTAAGAAGGGGTTCTAGTTCTCGTGCGCGGCCGGACAACAACACGAAGCTTGAGATTCTCAAGTTGATGGATGCGCCAGGCAGACACGAGAGAATTTTTCGCGACGTAGTGAGGGCGGGGTGTACGGCGATAGCAGTAGTGGTTGTTTGTTTTCTTCTAGGATGCGCTTCCTTGCGTGTTATTCATGTATTATTATTTTTTTCTTGCAACATCGAACGGGGGCACCGAGGACTTAAAGGATTGGTTCGTGCGACATGCAGTTGACGGTGTGAAGTACAGAACGAGTGTGCTGAGCAGAGAAATCAATTAGTCTAACGGTGCAACTTGCAAGTAATTTTTCTACATTTCTGTGTGTGCGGCAGGGGGGAACCACACGCGTCGCGGGACAGTCTGCCCACGCCTACGCTAGAACAGGGCCCAGCACTACTGCTGTTATTCGATCCATTTCGAAGTCTGTTAGCCCCGCAAAGCATGAGCGCCACACCATGAAATCAAACATCTCCTCAATTGAGGTATACTCAAAGCCTCAATAGTGCCGAACCTGCTATTCACGTATTCTGTTCATTAAAAGTGAAGGTGCCCGCTATAGTGCAGGTAAAATTTCTGGACACACCCCTGCACTCTAGAGGGCCCAGTACTGTATAGACTACTTGTGCTACAACAGCAGAGCTGCACAGCGGAAAGATAGGCAGGCGTGTGAAGAAGAAGCACAGAGTCGGTCATCGATCGCTCCAAAACGCACCTTTTTGCAGGGCTGTCCTCGTTGTTAACGGTTCTTCATGTCGGAATCATTTCCCGAAACCACGGTAATACAGTAATTTGGGCGGTAGCTGGCCACGACGGTAGTTCGGTAGTCTACTAGTAAAGTTCATCATGCGCCAAGTATTAACATGTCATCAACACGACAGGCAACAAGCAAGTGCCGCCTTCCTCACCCACAGAGAAACGGTGGAAGTATTCAATCGTTCAACAAACAATGCAACCTAACTAACTGCTGTGTGTGGTGTTTCTGTGCGGAACTACTACAGGTCCTGTTCCGCCACCTTGTTGATGGTTGAACAGGTCCGTCCGTGCTTCACTTCCGTTGGATGCATCCATCCACGACATACGACGACCCCGGGGTACGAGATATCAGACGGACGAACTTCAGCCTAATAATACTGAAAAGCCGGCTAGGGCGCGAGTTTCCGCCCGCGGCGAATTTTCGTTCGTTCCTAGTTGCGCACGTAGTTGCGCAGGGAGGTGGAGGACCGGGGGGGGGGGGGTGTTCTTCGGCCAAGCCGGGTGTCCGTTGTTTATTGGCATGGCATTTTGTTCTCCGCGTTTTTCCGGCAGACTGCCGGATACCTATTATTGGGGTGCTGGGTGCGTTGGCCCGGTTCTGTGTACGGTGATCGTGTGTTAAGTATTATCGGCGTTTTCGCCACAACCAATGCTCAGGGCGTCCTCATGTACATCGAGATAAGTAGACTACTTCAATGTTTACATATATATGCCGGCCGTTCCTGCATGCGACTCCCCATAGCACGACGTTATCAGCGGCCAAACTCATTGTTACTACTGTAGGTGCCGTGCTATGCTGTCGCTATTCGACCATTCTTGCATTTTTTTCTTCGGGAATCAGGAGAGTTGTGCACTGCTAGGTGAGGGTCCCGACTCCAACAGGCACAAGCGTGTGTGTGCGGTGCAACAACAGAGGGGCACCACCAACAGCAATTTCATTTCAAACCTAGCTGACACCATTCCAGAGTACTCCACCTATGGTTGGTATTGCAGCACAATTCTAAGTGCTCTACAAGCACAAGATCAGTAGCTAACATAATCAGTGCTCGGTGTTGCCGGCAATGTCTCAGGGCATAAGCACGGTGCCTGTATGCGAACGCAAGTCTTCAACTTCATTCGTGCCTACCTCTCGATCCTCTGCACCAATCAAGTTGAATTTTGATGCAATCTATTATCTGGCGCTCAGTCCGTCTTCCATCATTTTTTTGTGGCGATTGATGCTGTGGTGGGCGCGTTCTCGCGCTTGGTGTCTTTGGTGGGCGCGCAGCAGCGTGGTTGCGCCGTGTAGATAACATCGGCACATTTTTTTCGGGCACGGGCTGCGGGTTGCGCCGGCAAGTTTGAAGCCTACAGAGTGGACGGAATTCGGCAAATCTTGGTTCCCTAGATAGCTATTGGAATAGTCTACTGCTGTAAACCTTTAGTCATGGGTGGATGTACGCCGGTCGCGCTGCTCTTCTGTGTAAGCCGATATTTTTTGTCCCGCCGCTTACATTTTTTTTTTCAGCCGTGCAGCACTGGTGCTACATAAATGGGATTTCGTGTTGCTCCAACGGTAACATACCCCGTGGTCACTCGAAAGCACGGGAGTTCCGATTTTCCGCCGTCATTTTTTGTGCGGTAATGGGGCACTTCAATTTGTTCGTTCACGGTTTGGGAGTTAACGGTACAGTCAATTTATAACGGAAAGGATTTGGATGGGAATGGTAAAAACTTTAATTTTTCACGGGATTACATGAAACCGTAATTATCGTGGTTTTACTGCGGTACAATTACCGCGGAGAAATTAACGATGACAGCCCTGCCTTTTTGTCATCCACAACCAACAGACAGGCGCTAACCAGCGCACAAAGGCTAGCAAACTACTGACTGGCGTAGGCATACATACAACTAATATTATTAATTTAATTAGTTGAACAAGAGAGAGAAATAGACACCCTCGCTCCCATTTTCCCCGTTAAGTTTTATTTTTCCCCGTTTTGTAACGCCGTCACGCACGAAATCCAATCCTTTCAAAGGATCAAAAGAAAGCGGACCACGGATTGGAGGCAGCCCTGCAAAGCAGGGCAATTTATCTCAAACACCCGGGATATTGATCTATTTTGTTGTACGATTTTTCGATCGTACGCACGACCAAAACGCACACCCTGCTCACAGCACTACATATTCAGTGCCGAACCCCGTCCCTGAATCCTAATCGGGTCAAGTTTATGGCTAGTCGCCTCGACTCTTCGCTCTTGCTTCTCCCTTACGCAACACACACGATTTTTTTTCCAACGGCAAGGGGAACGCGATGATGGGATGCAGGTTGTGCTGCGGTCACACGTAGGCACGCGGTTCGCCCTCTTTCAGTTATGCTCATACACACAACCTCTCTTCCGATATACGTGAGAGGTGCTACTAGCGCTATCCTGAACGTAAGTATCTGCCTCCCGCTTGTCTGTTGCCTTGCATGCCTGCCGCACACAGCGCACCAGCTACCTGTTTAAGATGAAATTTGCATATTTCTTCTTCCTTTCTCTCCCTCCCTCCCTCCCTCCCTCCCTATCTCTCTCTCCTCTCTTGCTCGTGGCGGGGATATTCCCGGGCAAATGATAACCTACCGACACGATTCAATCTATTTACAACGGAAGGATTCGACAATATTTCAGCAGGACTCGTCTTACCAGACTCGTGTTACCTTGTTCCTTCACTTGTGTCTAATGACTGCTTACATTTGCTTACACCTCCGCCCACCCTTCTTTCACTAGGTGTCCCACGGCACGGTCGCACACGATACGGTACAAGTAACAGCTGGTTTCCACATCAAGCACCGAGGTGCAGAAACAAGGCATCCCAGTGGACAGTCGGATCCGGTGGCGGGCGGGCGTCGTAGCAATCCGCGTGCCGCCAGATTGACGCTACCCTCACCGATCTTTCGAGGCAGGCGGTTACGAGCTGTCCGGCACCCCCGATTTTGTGTTCTTTTCAACAAAGCCACCACTCCGAACGTCGCCCACCACCTGGCGTCCGGGTCCACTTGTTTTCCCCCTCCGTAGTGACGACCCTTTCTCGCCGTACGGGCCGCTGAGCTCCGCCCGCATTTGCCGCCGGCCTTGCGTATTCAAAACCTTCCCTGGCTTCTTTTCGACATGGCACCACGACATACCAGCCTCAACCCCCCGCATATTGAATTCCCCAAGCTGGCCAGTAGCGCGCGCAGGAGGTCGAAAAAGCAAGTCAAAGATACGTTGACGCCGGCATCATTGAACATACAATAAAGCATTGTTAAGCGCGGGTGGAATTGCTTCACCAAGCCATTCTGTACATTGAACAGCGCCGGTCCCCGTGGACACCGCCGGGCGATGCGCTGGGCACATACCGGCGTGATTGAAGGCCCCCAAGTGTAACTCGAAAACAGATATCACCACGCGATTGTGATTAGGAACTACCTTCACCGAAGAAAATCATGGTCCAACTTGGCCGCAAGCATGGACCACACTTCATCATCTGCCCCACAAGCTTATTCTTGACGAGATACACTCTGTGGGCCCGAAACCCTCCTCGAAGCTGTTCGTCTGGCCGCGATGACTTTCTGTTTGAAGCGGCACTTTCCGTCCTTTACATCCAAATATTCAAGCCAGTCCGGCCCTACTGGCTATCCCTTCCGTAAGCTATGATTTGCAAGACAGGCACTCAAGGCAGCATTCCCGCCTCCGGAGTGCGCCGTCATCGCGTTGATTGCAGGTGCATACCAGTAACTGGCTCGAGATCCCGAGCAGTAAGACGAGGATGTACTTCTGGGCGTCTTGGTTGTATCTACAACAGCTCGAGACGCATGCGCAAGACCGCAACTCTCGACACAGAAAAGTTTCACAAACTGCTGTGCGTCCACCTCGCTTGAAATACAATTTGAGCTTCACGCGGAGGTCTGGCTTAAAATAGGGTTCTCTGGCATACCAGCCAACTTATACTCAAAACGCGCCTGCTTGCGACTGAAAACCACTTCTATCGTCCAACTCAAGAGCGGCACATTGTCACAGTGGAAGAAAAAGGTGGCGATTTCCGTCTGTCGACGTCAGAAAACATCCCGTTCGACTGCGGGTATATCTCGAACGGGTACAGCACGAATCTTACTATATATTTATTTTCGTAACAAAAACGGTTGTCCGCTCCTCTGTCTTCAATGAGCTCCCGTTCGAACATGTTTATTTAGACCCCGTAAGCCGCTGCTGATCGTGAGTGACATGGTGGACACATCAGGGTTTTTCTCTAGGTCAGAAATTGACGTGTTCTACGCGAAACAGGGTTTGCTACATGTAAAAACACAAGTGCGCGCGACAAATCATTTGATCATTCGTTCGCTTCGAATACATCCGATGTAACTACAAATGTTGTGTCAACCGGCCCAGCTATTCCGTGGGTTGAGAACAGTCAACACGGGCCCCGAGAACTAGGCGGGGCCGCGTATCCGCTCTGATGTCGGCAAACACCGCTGGAATCGGCGGATCTTCAACTTTCAAAAACCAGCACCGTTGGGCGTCGGTGCGCCCTTTTCGACTGTCGACGGGCCGAAACCACGCAAGCAAGTGCTCTTTACAATGAACGTTTCAAGCCAACTTCGATTGAAGGGTTTCGAACCACCTCCATTAAGACATAGGCTTTGCACAACCCTCTTTTCCATCACTGCTACACCTCAACCCCCTTACCTTGGTGCCAACGAAAGCCCGCATCAATCCCTCCTTCTGCAGGTGTTGTTGAATTGCAGTTGTCGTAGAGGCGGTGGCAGCGTTTGGCTCAGCAGGCCCGCCGAAGTTGTCTATTTTGAATGGTGTCTGATCGACCAGCTCGCCAGCTGCTGCATCAGCTGAGCCTCCCGTGGCGGGGACGGAAACATAGGGAGAATTCCCCGCGACTGGCAGACCCTGTCCGTCGGCGAACTGGAGAATTGAATCGCACAATGCTGTCTCATCCAGTGTTCGCTTGTTCATTACTCCACACAAACAGCACAGAAACAACGCGACGAAAGTCCACGATGTGCCGTAGGCGATCCACTCCACACCATGTGCCACCTGTGGGTACGACACGTGTACACGGAGAGCCTACTCGGGAAGTGAAACAACCCAGGGGCGCGAAAAGCCAGCAAGGAGCTGCTGGTCAGGCCCTGGGTTCTAGAGGCCAGGCTCTTGGTGTTGCTGACGAGCTGACGAGGGCACACACAGAGAAATATCCAAACAGGAGGATAGGTATGCGTGAACAATAGTACTCGCATCCGGCGACATCCCTTGGTCGCCGCCGTGTCTTGTCTGCTGGCTGTTGTGGGTCATCTGTCCTGGGTCAGCACAGCAGCACTCTCCCTCCTTTCACACTACAGCAGTACTCCTGTTATCCCCTCCCTTCCATCCTGTTGCCTTGTTTCTGCTCACCAACTGCATGCGAGTCGGCTTTGCTCTCCACGCAGCGTTTGCCTCGAGCGCGAAGACTTCACGTCACGCTTTGTCCGCCGCTTACAGCATCTTGTCCAACGCGACCATGGCAGTGGGCGAGACGATGCAAGTCAAGAAGCTCTCGGAGAATGCCATTATGCCCGTTAGAGGCTCCGAACACGCTGCAGGGTTCGACCTCGCGAGGTGCGTGTGTGGGCTGCTGCTGTGGACACATGGTGATGAAGCAAACTGCTATGTATCCCCTTAGGAAATCGTGGGAAATTTTAGATTTCAAATTATGTTTTCAAATCTGGCGCCTTGCTCGCGTTTCTGGCGCGTACGTCCTTTCCGATGGTTTCTGCTTAGCCTCGTTATTAACAGAACGAAAAAGTCGTGCAATTTTCCACGGAACGGTGAAAAGGTAATCGGACTTTTTTTCGCTTGTTCTATTCCACCGGTCGCCCCGATGGTCTGGTTGGTATGTTCGACACCTTCTGGAGGTCAGGTCAGGGGTTTGAATCCCGGCGTAAGCGAGCTTTTCTTGCGAAGTGAGTTTTTCTCTCGCTTCCCCTCCTGGCCTAGTGGATAGCGCTAGTTCGTGTGTACACAGAGGGAAGAGAGTGCTGAACTCTTCTCGCATTGAAAATCGAAGGCAAAGTACCGCAGGAGGGGAGGGTAGAGAGGGGCCCTTCTGTGTGACCACGGGTTGGAGTAAACGGCACTAGTGCTGTGAGCGCTGATTTGAAGTGAAGACAAAAAAAAAGTCATGTCATTGCAGAAAGTTCATTTACTTCCGTCCCTGAATACACGCGCTGCTCGGCACACAACAGGTTGACTTGGTGTTGCTCACCATAGCAGCGGTGAAAGCGCAATGAGCAGCACCCGACACAGAGGACAACACATTTAGAAAGATCACATCCACCCGGCCTGCTGTTTTCAATTTTCAGCAACAACGGGCGCAGGGCAGAGTGTCGCAACCTGGGTGTTGCGTGCGATTCTTCAGTTTGCCTGCTCATTTTTCACGGTTGCGACTCCCATCTTTGACCACCACCTGCCCAAAGGTAGACAAGCTCAACAATCATAGGGCGGCAGCCGTCCTGACGGCCAGCATCATATAGATGGCCAATCCGAAAGGATTAGCGTGTCGGAGGCCCTGCTGCTCTTCTGCTGCATGGTGCCTTGGATTGATGTTCACGTGTCCGACCAAAAACAGATCATCTCGCCGCATTTTTTCCAACTGCATTTTGGTGAGGTGGCACACGTCTCTCACACACCTTATTGAGCAGCACCCAAGCACCAATTCCTAGGAAGCAGCACGGCGCCGGGAGATGGTATCAAATTGACAGCCGAACCGAAGGAATTAGCGCGTTGGAGGTCTTGGTGCTGCTGCTGTACTCGTTCTACTGTTGCCGTGTTTTGCCATGTGTGATTGAAAAAATTCCCCAGCACCAACATCAGCAGTTGAAGACGAGAGCACGGCGCAATGTATAGTTTTGGACCAAGAACGGACTGAACGCCGCTTCTGCCGCTTGCCCATCTCCACAACAGACCTGAACGTGAGTCTGGCAGGACTTTCTAGCGTTCTCAGTGATGTTACAGCGCCCGCGGTGCGCTTGTCCGATGCTTGTGTCAAAAACACGGATCCGTGAAAGTAGCAAGCCCCCTAAGATCCCTGCACCTTTGCACGTATTCGGGTAAAAACGCCTCTTGTTATGTTCAAGAATACAGGCGTCCGTGAGATGTTCCGTATTTTTTTGTCAATAATACCCCTTATACATGCAGTAAACGCGTTGTATCAACTTGTATGTATCACTACATGTACGGACAAGTCTTTTGCCTTTCGATCTTCCCTTTACTATTTAGGAGCTTGAATCCGAGGCCACCCTAGCCTTCAATTGCGTAGTGTAGCCTCCTACACGGGTGAGACTCCGGCAATGTTGCCCAGGAATGTACGACCGCCCAAAGCGTTCAGTACCTCTAGACCGGCGGCAACGCACTGCAACAACAGAGTTAACACAGCAGCATATTTCAATGTCAAGATCTAAACAAAAGAACTCACAAATAGACGCAAGTACAGTAGGTTCTCTGATCATAATATGTTCCGTCTAAAGAGAACGGTTGCAAAGCGGTGACAGCAGTAGGGCTGCCGTGTTGTCCGTGTTGTCCCCGCGTGTTGTTGGAGTCCGTCTCAAGGTGATCCTTGGTGAAAATAGATGCGCGTAGTATTCGTCCATAGCACGAGCCAGCTTGTGTGCCCGCCTGGTCTACGGCTGTAACTGTAGCATGCTGGAACGTGAGATTGCCGTCGTGCATGATTTGCCTTGAACCGTAACGTGCGCAACGCATGGCATGTGCTATCAAACATCTAAGCTCAAGGGGGAGGGCATGCGAAAAATACACATCCAAACCAGTGCTTCAGTACTTCGTATCGTCATGTTTGATATTGGCTAAAAATGACTTACAATGGGGCGATCGTCGCTTCCATTCCTCGGCGGCGTCTCAATGATCCATGTCCATCGTCTTCTTCTTCGACTCGGCGGCTGTCTTTTGTTTTTGCTCAAGTGCCTACGAGGCCACGGTCCCCGCCGGGCGTCAAGCTCTCATCAAGACGGACCTCTCCATCGCTATTCCTCCCAACACGTACGCGCGCATCGCCCCTCGATCCGGCCTGGCGGTGAAGAAGATGATCGACGTCGGGGCGGGAGTTGTGGACTACGACTACCGCGGGCCTGTTGGAGTGGTGCTCTTCAACCATGGGAGTGAAGACTTCAAGGTCCAAAAGGGAGATCGTGTGGCTCAGCTCATCTTGGAGCGCATCTGCATGGCAGACATCGAGGAGGTGATACAAAGTGGTTTGCTTTCTGTAGTCATCCCATATATGTATGTAGGATTGCTTTCTCTCCAGGGGCCACGATCGAGGTAAACCAAGGAGCGTTCTTCTGTCCTGCGTGCTTGGAAGGAGTACTATGGTGCGAAAGATTCACCAATCTGAACCTTTCATCCCTCGTCAACCTGTTTGTCGATTGTTAAATACTCGCGAATGCGCGTGTTGTTACCAGTGACATAAGTTGAACGTACAACCTGGACCATCGAAAGGTTTCAGAACGCGAACATGTTCGAAGCGAGTGATTTCTCAACGTTGATATACTAGTCAGATTGAGCTCAACCTTCACGTATGCACGAGGACGAAGTTTTTGAATTGCATGTGGCGTGTTTTTTTTGCCAGGTGACAGAGCTCTCCGAAACAACAAGAGGCAGCGGAGGATTTGGCAGTACCGGCGTTGAACAAGGCGCGCTTCAAACATCATCCACCGTGGCGAACGGGGCAAAGAAAATCAAAGTGGTGGGGTCCGAGCCGGTGAGAGTAAAGTAGTTGGTGCCCCAGGCATCCTTCATGTGCAGGTACCTACTTTGTCAGTACTTCACGTGCGTGCCCGCAATCCTCACGTATGTGCTGCCTGAGAGAGTCAGCAATTGTAGCTGTGTCGAATGTGTGTATTTTTCTGGCATGCATGCTGACCGCATTTGTGGAAATGACAGGTCTCGAGAACGTCGTCCACAGTAGCGAGTGTGCTCAAGCTAATCGACAGAGTTGACAAGCTGGATGTGGATGACGCTCCTACGCTTGTCGCAAAGGTGAGCGCCACGCCGAATGCGTTCCTTGTGTTATGGGATTTGCTCGCAAAATCCACAGCCGCGGGCTTGTTGATAACAACAAGAATGGCAGGCGACTGCCAACTGAGTGGGGAGGGTTACTTCACCCTTGTCCACCTTTTGGGTAACGTGCTTTGCACCCTTCTTTGTCTAAGCTAACCATTGTATGCGTAAGAAAATTATTAGGAAAATTAAATCCACACACAGAAAGACTACCCATTCGAGATATAACCACAGTCGAACGGGATGTGTTGGAGTCTTTTCAGTGAGTGGAGGAAAGTGGGCTGGGTGCTGGACTTATTTCGAATATACGCTGATGGTTTTTATCAGTGATAACAGCTAGTGTTAAGTAGAAAAACATCGATATCAAGGTAACCTACACTTTACAATCCCCTCTAGTTCAATACTGGGTCAACGACAAAAGATCGGGCAGAATCCCTCCGTTACGTCGTGTGTCGTTAAATGTTACCCTTCACAAGGAACACGGCGCGTGTCTATTGACATGCTGTTTTTTTGTTGTTGTTGTGGATGCGATTTAAGGGACAATACTTGTAAAGGCCATGGACTACTCGTTTATTTTCGATCTACAAATTTGAATTTTGCGGGCCGTTGTTTCCCGCCGTTTTTGAATCTGCAAATGCGACATTTGATCCTTTGGGGTTGACGTATGCATATCAGTGATGTATTAGACAAGATTGGAGTGCATGGTAAGTAAGGCATAGCAGTCAGTTTGCATCATGTTAAGCTTGTTTCTTGCTATGTTTGGTGTTGGCAAACAGCAGTAAAGCACGAAAAAATAATTAAAAGATAAGTGGGTTGGTTGGTTGGTGGACGTCCCTGTTGTTCCTCAAAACGATTCGCCGAGATATCTTGCTGAGACCATTGTAAGAGATAGATGAGGCCGGATTAGTCGGGAGGTAGGGGCCTCATCTAACCCGCTCCCACACCACAGCAGTACTTTAACGATTTTCGTTCCTTCCTTTCACTAAATCTCGTCAAGCGAATGACGACTTAGGCTCCGTTTATGAGCGACGTCGCAGCAGGATCCCAAGGTCGACGTAGCTTAGCCAGCTACCGAGGGCATGAAGGTATTCTCTGTTGACGGTTGGGCAATTGCAGGGGGTCCAGAAAGAGAGTCGAGCAGGGCGGTGCCATAAGTGGTCCACCCGCTCATGCCAGCAAGTGGCATGTGGAAAATCCGTGGATCAATCAAAATGGCTTGCTATGGTTTGGGATGCTTCTAATGATCGTTTTCCTACACTCAGAACGCATCCGCTGGATCCTGCGCTTCCAATATACTTACCTGTCATCACCACGTGTCATTGTAATAATAGTTTTTTTTGTCTGAAAAGTGTGGCCCGTTAGGGGTACGCTTTTTGTTTTGTTTTGCAAAAAAAAAGCTGTTTAGAGGGATCGTGTGTGGAGTATGTGCGCACGAGAAAAAGAATAATTTTCATGCACAGGGGCGTGAAAATTTAGCCATGGCTGTCTGGTGTCTGGTGTCTGGTGTCTGGTGTCTGGTGTCTGCGCGCCCTAAATACCCAGCAGACTCGAGCCCATTTCACCATCTCGGCACCAAATTGCAAACTAAAACTTGCGCACAACAAGTAACATTTTGCCCGAGCTGTCCCAACCGCTACCTTTGCAATCCGTGGTCGGTGTCTCGAGATAGCACACCGTTTGTGCAAATATATATGTCACATGGACGCATCCCCGGGAGGCGTCGTCATTTTTGTTTTTCTTTGGGCAACAAACTACACGCTACACGCACGCAAGAAGAAACCACGACGCACTGCCGCCGTGCTGCACACACTGCTGCTGCTACTGGCAAGACACGCACTACACAGAGACAGGGAACATGGACAAGGGTGGGACAAACACACATACTACTGCTGTTAGCGACGGCGGAGGAAGCGGGGAACGTTTGGTTGGTCTGGGGTTCATTCATCGCTGATGATGTTGTTGCTGTTGTCTCCGTTGTTTGTTGTTGTTGTTCAACGCTGCCGGCCTTTTTTTCGCCTTTTTTTCTCTGGAGAGAGAGGGAGTCCCACCAACCAGCGTGTGTTGCACACACCACACAGCGAGAGCGGGACGGGAGCAGGGTGTGCCCTATACTACTGCTGCTGCTAGCTTTCGGCGGAGGAAGCGAGAGGAGAGATATTGATTGGGTCTCTGTGGGTCCATCGGTTGGTTGTTGTTATTGTGTTGCGACGCGGCGGGAGGGAGCGGCCTCTGACTCTGCTCTGGAGAGAGGCACACATACATCACAGCACGGGACCAGTAACACATCACGCTCGTTCCTAGACGATGTAGTACCACTGCTGTGCTGTGCACCTCTCTACACTCATTGTGGGCGAGAGGGTGTGTCGCCTCTGCTGCTGCTGCTGTTGCTGTTGTCTAAAGCGGTGGCGGAAGCGTCCTCTTTAAACAATCAGCAGCAGCAGCAGCGCAAGCCGGGGAATATTTCAACGTTTTTTTTTCCTCTCTAGCTGATGACGATGGATACCACTCCCCCCCTCTGATGATAGCACCCCCCCCTCACGGCTGACGATGGATACCACCCCCCTCTCTAGCTGGTGATGATGGACCGCCCCCCGTCCTTCTGTAACAGACGCACGAGCCTACTGCAGGTACTTTTGTGCAACCACCACAAAAAAATATTCCACCTCCAACTCTAGTAGAGTAATTTTATCTGCTGCGCCTCTGTCAGTTGCTCGCGACACCCTGAAGCTTGCAGCAAGCAGATGTACAAATAGAACTGGCGCAAGGCCGACAATCGAGCGATGCCGGCAGTTCACAACATGGTTTATTTTCCCTTCTTTGCTTCGCAAACGAGACACTCCGCGCTCAAGGAAATCTTCATGGTATCCAGTGGCAGGTCTTGTGTAGTGTCGAGGTTTGAGCTGAGAGTCTTGGGATCTTGGAAAAAAGAAAAAGGGCTAAGAGAGACTGTGTGCTGCATCTGTGCAAGTGCCGTCTGTTTTGGTTTGAAAGGACACATAACACCTGTCGGTGAGTCACAAGCATCCGCGCCGTGGGGCGTCAGCTCAATGTGCTCGCCGACTCGCCATTATCGTATCGTATCGATTGATTGAAACGGTATCAACACCTTTATGTACGTCACATCAAATCCAACACAACTAGTGGTAGTGGCGAAAACAGCATCCTCCTTTTTGTCAGCGAACCTCTGTACAATCCTTTGATGGTCGAAACCCTCGTTTTCCGCGATCTGTCTCATCCTTTACCTGTCAGTTGCGGAAGGCTGCGATGTCCAGGCCATCGTCGCTGGAGGATTTGCTGGTCGGTATTCTGGAGATCTACGACGAGACCGGGGACACCAAGGCGCTGAATAAAAACCTGACGGCCGTCGTGACTGCGTAATCTAGTTCGTGAGCCCACTTGCGTTGCCAACCTGACGCAGTACGGAACAGCGTGGAATGGAACACTCTAGAGTAGCCTTTGCTCACCTTCGCTCATGACGGGACCGAGGGAAAAAAGAGGCGGTACTGCCAACTTGTGGAGCGGGCAGGCCTTCAGTACGCATAGCGCGTTGAACGTTTGTTTTGTCTTGTGACCAGAGAGAATACTTAAGCACGATTTCACCTTTTTGCACCCCCAAGATGTCTTTTCAGACAGGAAGTGGTCAGAGGCTGGGGAAGAAACAACCGTCATGTGCTAAACGTTGGAACCCTGGGAGTCTGGCATCCTCCCAACATTCTAGCAGCCTGGGTGAGGGGTTTGAATCCCGGCGTAGTCGAAATGGCGAGAGAGCGCTGCACTCTTCTCGCGGTAACACAACCGAAGGCAAGCGCCGCGGGAGGGGTGCAGGGAGGGGAACCCTTCTGTGTGACCACGGATTGGAGCAGCTCCTACGCGGCAGAGATGCTGTGGGTGGTGTGAGCGCTGATGTAAAGTGATGAATGAAATGAATAAAAAATGATGTTGCGTTCAGTCCGTCAACGATGCCTTCACACCATGCCGTTGGGCCCTGAGAAACCTGCGAACCTTGCAAGACCGAATGCCAAATCTCTGTCGCACCGCCGCACAGAATAACAAACACCAGCTTGGTTTCCCCTCTAGGATGGCGATGGCCTCGTGAGCAGCGTTAGCCCATGCATGTCCGCGATCTCGGTCGCGAGAGCGGCCTTCACCATACGGTGTTGCGCAACCAGACCCTTGCCCCGAAACAACGGTGACTCGACCTCGATTTTGTACATGCTCCCGCATCCCCCTGAGATATCATGCACGACAGCTTTCGATGCCTCTATCTTCGACCTGCGCAACAAGGCACAGCGTAGGCAGGCAAAGCACGTGATCGACCGAGCAACACTTGCGTCCCTTCGACAGAAGGTATTCCACGCGTCGGGTCAACCACTGTAATCCTCTGCCATAGCCCCCGGGTAACAGTACAAAGATTTGTAAAATGCCACCCCGGCGCTAAATAAGCAAAGGGGAGGGGGCCTTGAGACAGATGAAACACCCAGAGGCGGGCAACGTCCCCTGGGGCGTGTAGCGGAATCTGAGGCAAAAAACACGACACACACAGGCTTGCCATGGGCCTAAATATGAAATATGTTCACGGAAAGTAACAACATGGGAGCCACAAATAACAGCAATGATTGGCCAATTGCCGGCAAGAGGAAATCGTCGATTGTAGATGTCATCCCGGGCGGAGATTCTGAAGCTTTAGCTTCAGTCTCATCGTTCGATATCCGTGTGTGTGGGGGGAATTTCATTCGCATCCCCCACCCCTGGCCCGACCGGGTCTCAAACGCTGATCTCGGGCTATAGCGCAAATCTCGTGGCCCCTTAAGTATGGTTCGGTAGGGAATCACAAACCATGACCCCTCCCCGGGTTTGAGCAGCTAGCACCTCCTGTGGCCGACACGACTCGGCCTTGACTGTTCCTTGTCTGTTTCGCCATGGGAACGGCCGGTCGAACAGCGAAAGAGAGTCCTGCGTACCGCGCGCCGTAACCTTTTTTTTCCCGTTTGTTTGTGATTTTCTTCCTGAGTAACCTTTGCACACATGCGGTTGCTGCTGATGTGCTCGGAAAATGCTGCAAAGGTCGTAAGGTCATCGTCTCTA